GCAGCACGGGTGGTGTGTCTACAAGGGGGGCTACAAGCCTCCCCGAAATACGCCATAGCCCCCTCCCATAGCTCCTCCTTCCACTGCTGCCACCTGCCCCACGCACAGCCCCTCCCACCAGGAAGAAGGCAGCATGGCCTCCAGCCCCGAGCCTATAACCAGCAGCCTGCCTTCACCCTGCACATAGATCCAAAGGACACGTGCCCCCCATGCCTCCCACAGGGTGCACACAGCTGCAGAAGCCCCCCACCCCTGTCTGCCCCCCTGAACCTCCCAGACAAGCTGCCCACAGCTCCGTCCCACACCCCACCCCAGCTGGGCAGCACCTGCCCCTGCCCCAGCCCCACTCCCTCCCTCACTGTGGGGACCTCAATCTGCACCCCCACACCTCTTCCCTCCCCCAACACAGACTTACCAGCCGGATGCTGCTCTCCACACTGCCAGGCTGCATCTCTGGCTGCATGCAGCAATTATCAGCAATATTATCAACCACATCAGTCAAAAAAGCTGATTGCCAATTTTTCTTTTATCAATGCCAATACGATATGGACTGATATATCAGTGCACCTCTAACAAAAATCAGGTTTAGGGATAAGGCTTACCAGAGCACATTAAAGTCACTGTCCATTACCTCATCAATTTGTGACACTTGTCCATCTGCCAGGGGTTCTAACTCTGCAGTAGGTGGAGCTGACAAAATGCTTTGAAGAAAAAAAATACATTACTTGACTAGCCTGCTAAAAATCAAGTATTTAATACTTTTTTCCAGCACAAAACTGCAAAATTATTTTGAAAAGAAATTCAAGGACACCTACTATGGTGGGATGAATACCTGAGCCAAAATATTCCAGGTACAGAGTACAATACTTATACCAAAATAATGCATTTAGGTTGCAGTCACAGCAGCAATCTGGTCTGCCACCAAATCTTTTGACCATTTGCTGCTCCTGTGAAAGTAGCCCAAACCACCTGCCTACATCCCATCCAAAGGCCTGTCCAGGCAAATACTGAAATAGATCACAGCCTTTCCTATAGTAAGTTTTTGTCAAGAGTTTCCCGTTATCGCAGCTTCCCCAACTGGTAACATCACTGAGAAACATTCTGACTACTAGCTCCTGAGGCTAATGGTGTTAAGTAAAAATATAGACAGTCATAGGAGCCTTGTCCCTAATAGCACTCCCAACATTGCTACCACCAGTGGAACAAAATTACAGTAGATAATATAGTGTTATAACTCTTCTAGCAACAGACCTATTTTGACATATATTAACAGCTATTTGTCTTTAAAAATATATATTATACCCATGGAATAAAACTTTGTTAATGACTCAACGTTAATTAGATTTGGCATGTTGACATTGGCAATCTGTACATCACTGGCTGGCCACTGGCTGCTTAAAAAAATCTGTTCACAGTGATCCAGGAAAACTTGTTGGCTAGCATTGGACAAGGAAGTTATGATTATTAATTTACTGTATTACATAGATCATGCATGGCCAACCCGGGAGGTACAAGTGGCATAGGCAGCCTCCATGTGTGGCATGCAGCAAAACAGAGAGAGGGAGCAGGGAGCACAGCAACAAATAGGACAGCAAGCAGAAAGCAAAGCAACAGATTGGGCCAGGTTCATGGGGGAAGGAAGCAAGAAGCAGAGCAGATCAGGCAGGGAGGAGAGAGGTGGGAGCAGAAAACAGACAAGCAGATTGGGCAGGGAAAGGAACTAAAATGGCACTCAGGGAAGGTGCAGGGCTGATTTGTGGCACATCTGCCAAAAAGGTTCGCCCCCACTAGGTTAGATGGTGTAGAGCTGCTACGACAGGAAGAGGAAGCACAGATTCTACCACTTTGTCATCTACTGTGAACAGGGCCTAAATATTCACCACTTACCTTCTGAGTGCTGTGAGCTGGAAATTTTCAATGCAATACTGTAGGAAATTTTTCAAGTCAGTCTTGCTGATTCCACCAATAGGGTTGAGATCGGCACTAGAACAATCATACTTAGTCAAGTATCCTCGAAGACTGAGAGAGAACAAGGAGTTTTATAAGTAACTACAGTAGTAGGAAGGGGAACAATAGGTCTATCATGTCTTTGTAAGTATTTATACAGCTATCCTTTTTTGAAGGTATACAAATATTAAGCAGTAAACAGATTAATGACCACTTGTGGTAGAGTTATGCCAAGACCATTAATTTGCTGGCCAGGAGATGGTGAAACTTGAATTCCTGTTGAGACTGTGCTGAGCACAATGGTAATAAAAGTGAAATGGGAAAAAATGAAAAAAAAACAACAAACAAGCCCCTCAAAGGCTGCATTTACTGCAATGACAGCAGATGATTACTGACTGTACCACAGGGCTGGCACAAGGAACTTGTGCTTTTCTGAAGTGTTCCGTTTCCTGTGTGATTCAGCTGCTCACAAGCCTGCCCAACCCCAGGTGGAGACAAGAAGAGAGATTCCTGCACTATATTTATTAAATATTACAAGTGACTAAAATTATCCATTTAATCTTGTTCTGCTTCTTACCTGATTTTGAGAAGTTAATTTCTTGCCAGAAATACTGGACACAGCAAACAGGTGATCAATGGACTACTATGTATATCATATACAACTGAGCATTCAAAGGATAGGATAACATAGCTGCTAAACTGAGAACCTAGTTCTACCCAGCTGGGCTGGTAACTAAGCAACAGATTATCCAGTGAGTGACTTTGATCTCTCAATGAGGCTGATCAGAGGTCATCTGGTAAAGGGGACAAAAATTTTGCTGAAAGCAGAAGGGAGCTACCCCCAGCAGAAAGGCTGACTCACTCTATGATTCAGAGGAGAAATAGGACCCTGAACACTCAAAGAGAACTCTTAACAAAAGGTCAAAGACTACTCAAGAATAATAAAGAGACTTAGGCAGAGAATGGCCTATCATTAAAATAATAATAATAATGGTATTGGTAATTCCCCTAACTCTGCTTATGTCCAGTGCTACCTAAAGTAGAGTAATTATGTCTGAACCTTTGCAAAGTTTGTGCCATGCACTTGAACTATTAGATGTTCCTAGTGAAGTAAAAACTGTAAACCAAAATGCTCACAAGGTTGGATCTGTAAGAAAAAGGGTATGCTTAATTTACTAGGGCAATGGTGCTCAACCTTTTTGTCCAGCAGGCCAGATGAGCAGTGTCCGGTCCCTCCACAAACTGGATCTAGCTGGTTGACCCAATCCAACACCTGGGGCAGACACGACAGGGCCCCATCCTACCACACAGAGTGGGCAAGGGAGCAGCCCAGCTTCAATCCAGCCATGCGAGGGAAGGGGGCTTGGCCCAGCCCCAACTTGGCTCCGTGGAAAAGGAAGCATGTCTTAGCCCCCATCCAGCTCCATGGTGGGAAGGGGCATGGCCTGACCCTGGCCGGAGGAAATGGGGCGTAGCACTGCCCTACAGGGGGATGGGACAACATCCTGCCCTGAACCAGCCATGCAGGCGGTAGAGGCATGACCTGGCTCTACAGGAAGAAGTGGGGAGAAAGGGGCATGGCTCAGCCCTGAACCAGCTGCAAGGGGGAAGGGGGAATGGCCCAACCCCAATCTAGCTGGGGAGAGGATGAGGGCCCAGCTTCAGCCCTTGGTACAGGGCTTGGGATTTGGGCAGTATGGAGGGGTAGCAATATTAACTGCCACTGCTCCCTAGCCACCAAGTTTCCCGACCTTTGGTGAGCTCCATGAGCTAGATTCCAAGGCTCAGTAGGCCACATTTGGCTCACAAGCCGGAGGTTGAGCATCCCTATAATAGGGTGCTCTGGAATCTGCTCTTCTCCTGAAAGCCTACAGCTGTGGGGTCCCATTCCATGAAGGGAAGCAGGTGAAAAGCCTGTGCCCAGAGGAACCAAACTAAGAGACCGTGCAGGACCCTTACGGGCATACAGGAATTGCAAAATGGGACCCAAACACAGGAGCCTTGTAAGTGTTCAGAACAGGAAACTCAGTTACTGGCACTTCTGGCTGTGGAATAAGCATTATAGGCAACTCTGTGGAAATACAGATAGTCCTAGACACTGAAAGAAGGCTCTCGAGTCCTGGAAGTATGCAAAAAGCAAGGGTTTTTTTTTTTGTTTTGGTAATATCTTTTGTTGAAACAACTGTATAGTTGGGATAGATGTTAAACAGTCTTTCAGGTACAACATACCCCTCTGCAGTGCACTGCATCTTTCTGCCAAGATTAGCCGCAGACGACCCTAATTCTACTTGGGACCTTCAGGTACCACAAAAAACAACTGCCATTCAGTACCAACTCTCCCATTTGCAATTTGAACGTATACACGCTGTAAAGCTAATCATAGTGCCACCACTAGCCAGGCTAAGGTGGGGGTTTTGATGCAAAAATTACTTAAATACTAACTCAGTCACCCAAGAAAGAAATAAAATCTTACCTTCCCAGGCCCCAACAATCATGGATTACCCTTTTCTTTCAGATGGTCCAACGTGTGGGAGTGCAAAGCTACTAAGCTTAGTTCTGATTTTTTAAACATGTTGCAGTTTGTGGTCTGATACCCAACAGAGTAATTGTAAACACACAAAATACTTGTTTACTTTTCACTTCCAATTTACTGTACAGATCACCTTTATTGAGGAAAGAACAGCTGCTCTTCTATTTAGTTACAACCCCAATTTCCTAATAAGCGTCTGGAAAATGCGTAAGAATTATCCTGTTCCTTTTGATTCATGTGTTTTCATTGATTCCAGTTCTCCCATTTTATTTTTAGATCATTATCTTTCCTGGATCACTGAATTACACTGACATTTGGCAGACTTATATAAAGCCACAATGAATGTCACTCCCTATTCACTCATTAAGGGATTTCTAGTGTATGCTTACCTTTCATCCACATTGGCGGATCCAAGCACGAGAAGTCCCCCAGGCATTCCACGGGCCCAAAGACTCAGCTGAGCAAATAGGTAGGCAAGCACCATTCTTAATCTAGCCTACAAAGCAAATTGAGAAACAACACAGATTTACAAGACAAACTACTTTGTCCTTCATGAAACAGTAATAAAAGTTAAATTAATCAATGATTTCTTGTATTGCCTGGGAAAAGGTAAGCTTAGCAACCTTAACAATATCTTCTGAAAACCAAGAACACTAATGTAGATGAGTGTTATACAAGCTTCCTCTCTCACATTGCATTTCAGTTGTGACTTGCGAGAAGCCCAAGCATGGGCACAATAAGCATCCTAGTGTGCGCTTTATTGGTGACAAGTGGGCACATCTACATGTGCATTAATGCACTTTAGTTAATGCACATTAAATCTAGTACCTCCATTGTGAGATGCTAGAAAAATGCACATTAGCCTGGCTTAATGTGCATTAACTAAAGAACACACTTTTTAAGCGATGCTTAATATGCATTAGCCTATTTTAATGTGCATTAAGTAAAAGCATGGGGCTCCTAGACATGCAGGGAGCCTGCTCCAATGCTCTGGAAATCCAGCGCATCAGAGCAGACTCGATTAATCGAGTCTGCTGGAGCATGGAAATTGACACCCGCTGGCAGCCTTCGGTGTCATGTGCATTAGCATCCCTGTGCTGAAAAAATGGCAGCGGGGCGCTCTGAAATAAAACACCTTTAATAAGCTTTAACTCAAAGCGACCTGCTTGCATTTTTTCAGAGCAGGAATGCATGGGGACACTGATACACATAACGCACGGGTGCCTTTAATGAATTAAAGCACCTGTTGCCGCATCCCAGAGTGCATGTAAAAATGCCCAAGGTTTTTTAAGTGATGCTTTAATGCTCATTAAAGTACACATGTAGAAGCGGAGGAGTCTTTGGTGGCAGAGCAGCCTCTGCACTGGGACACTTGCTAAATGGCATCAAAACAGTGAGACACATGCACCAGCGATTTACTCTTATAGCTCTTCTCTCATCCACTCCAGATAGGTTCTGAAAACACCACAGAAACCCTTTGTAACACTGGGTTTCTTCTGAGTCAGTGTGCTTCAGAATTAGGCTGTACTTACACTCAAGTTGCTCAAGGCAATTAGCAAATATTGCAACCCACTATCACTAAATCTCCATGTGTTATTTCAAGAAGGGTTTGTAGCCTACCCAGAACACACCTGCACATTTTGTAACGCCAAATTTTCTCTGCTGCTTCCTCCATAAACACGAAACTGAGGAGATTTGCCCATCACAATGCTGAAAATCCCTACAACGGCTTTCACTGCCACATCTATGTTTAGATTTATGTGATAGCTGAGGAAAAACAGAAGCAGAAGCAATCTGACTTGCATGTGTTATGACTAAGCAGTATGGTATAAATATAATTTTAGCTTTTTCTTGCATGAGAAACCAAACACTCAGTTCTCTAGCATTTACATCAAGGACACAGGAGTAAGACATTAAATCTGCCACTTATCTGATCTCAGACTTGGGGAGCCTGGGGAAGCTTTCTATTTCCTAATTTCCCTATTCTTCCCCTAATGTTTCTGATGTGCCACCCCCCACTATTCATATATACATAGGCCTTAGGGTTACTTCCCACATTCTGCACATTTCTCTTATATATTTATCTTTTGGGAAACCTAAAAGTGTACACAAAATCTTAACCAAGCATTTCTTATTCTATACCTGCCTATTTGTTCAGCCAGAAATTTGGCCCTGTCGCGTGTATCCTGGGAGGAGTTCTCACTAGCCATATAGCACGTAGTAAAGATACGTCTGCAGAATTCTTGGGGAACTTCAGGTGTGTAGGTATCTTCATTCACTATCTTACGCACATCAGTCAGCACACCTTGATCTGAAGACAAATGATACAGAAGCCAAACTTTCATGGATTTCTTGCCTTACTACTAAGTAATTAACCATTACCATCTTGGGGTTGAATTTCACTTTGGGCGAACAAACTCTCTCATAATAATCTAAACATCAGATCCAAACATCCCAATTTTTGGATACTCTGAAGCAGAATCTACAGCCATAAATTTCACAGCCAACCTTTATTTCTATCATGGCCCTAACCACTACCATGAATTTAAATCTGCCAGGTTAAATTTGGATTTGCATTTTAGCTGGGATTTTTAAGGGTCCTATGGGATTGAGCTGCCAGAAGTCTTTTGATACATGTATGTTAGACCTTAATTTAATATATAAACATCTAACCTCTATGTTGCATCATATGTTCTGAACATGGAGCTAGAATTAATCTCTCTCTATTACAGCAAGAGTAGTTATTCACAGAAGTCTACTTACTTCCATTCTTTACTGCAAGGCAAACCTGATGACACATGGAGTATACAATGCAGGCTGTAGCAGAGCTGTCAGTTCCACCACTAAGTGGCAAGAGAAATCCTGCCTTAAACAGCAAGCAATGGGAAAAGTTGTAAAAAAGCACCACAGTAAAAATATATTTTACCTAGAGCAACAACATTTTACATCCAAACCCAAGACCCTTCCTTAAACGAATTATGTATACTCCGGTGCATTCTGGTAATGCTCCAGAACGCTCCATTCTGGAACTCTGGTAATACTTATATGGAAAAACAGACCTAGCTAAACAGTTCTAACCATCATCAATGTGGACAGACTACCCATGTAAAGTGCTAGTTCAAAACATTTAGTTTACTGGTTAGCAACGCTGGGGAGGCAAACAGCAGCTAATGATGAAGAACACGATTCTGCAACCTAGATACCATGCAATATTTAACTGGATCACTGCCTGTAGTCATCGTCTACTTATTTCAAATACCACCTCAGGGAACAAACTACTTCTATGCACCTCTTGTCTTTTGTCCACCTATTTTAAAAGTCTTTCAAAAAGGTAAAAGGTGTCATAATTTCTCAGCAAAGGGTAGTAAGAGCAAAAACCTCTTACTTCAGTTCTAATATTTTCTCTGTGTTTGGTGGCATGTTTTTGACCGCTACTTTTTAATTAGTCTCTATAGGTTGTCTCAGTAGCAAGGGAACAATTTTCTTGCACTATCAATGGTTAAATATTGCAGATGCAATTAATCAACTGGGGGTGGGGAGGATAGTTTGAAAAAGAAGAAGCCTGTAGAAAACTGAAATGTCAGTTTGTGTCAAAAAGAAAGAGATCCCCTCTGACAATAGGAGTCCTGCTCCCAATTTCAAAGGAAGCAGGTTGAGCACTTGTAAAGTGATCTGAATATAATACTAAGGCCCCGGGCAGATGGTACCAATTAATCACATCTTTAGTAGTAACTCAGCCCCACATTCATGCAATTAATGACAGGATAAGACAGGCAAAGAAGCACAAAGTTATTACACAAAATATGTGTTATAACTTTTGGCTGGTTCCCATTGCATGTGACCAGGTCTATCAGCTGATCAGGGCTCCCAGCCTCAGGGGCACACTGGAATCAAGGGCCCTGGTGCACCCATGAAGCTGGGAGTGGCAACCAATCCAAGGGCTCCTACGTGCTTCTGAATCGTGCTGATCAGCTGACTGGCTTGCTACTTTCCAGTACAGAGGGAGCCCAGGATCATGATCCCGGGCTCCCCCTGTACCAGTAATATGGCATGATTGAGATCTGATCCTCAATCCCACAATTGTGCCTCCTGCCATAAACCTGTAGCATGGCAGAAGTCCTGGATCACAGATCAGATTCCATCACAACTTTAACAGAATGTCTACCAGCAGCCTATGTCACAGCTTAGATATGTGCTTTAAGCTTGAACCAAAGATACCAGTAAAAAGCCTCCTGGAAGTACTGTCCTCCCAGACCTAGAAAGACTGATGTTTACAGTCCTATTTAAGGCACAGCAAGACAAAGATGGAAAGAGCTCCTACCTGTTTACTGCGTCTTAAATAGTCCCAAAGCCAACATGCAGGGCCAAAGCTGAAAGAAACAGAATATATATTCCAAGACAATTACAGGATAAGTAAAGATTGTTTATTAAATATGAATTTGACCTTATCTCCTTTGACTGGATATTTCCCCATTTGGGCTATACATGCAATAAGAAACTATTTTAGCCTCCATTTTTTTTTAATTTAAGTATATCTGATTCTTTTTGTACTTACCAAATTTCCTCCTCAGGACTATGATACCTCCACTGGATTGGCTCGCTTGTAGATACACATATCTCATCAGAACATGACAGTGCAAAATTCACCTTTACTCTGGGATATGGATTCACTTTACTTCCCTTATTAATAGAAAAAAAATGGGAAGACATCAGTTTTAATATTTCATTTGTCTCTTAATCCATTACAGGTTCACAAATAATTCTTGGTAGAAATCAAGCATTTGTTAGTCTTTCTTTGTATCAAAAGCTTTTTTTGGCTGAATGATTACTGAAATTTAGCAGAGAACTGAAGTAGTAAATAATTATGTAAAAAAATGCTTACCAGGAGATTACGAGATGAAATTTCTGCCCTATAAGTTCGAACATCTTCCAAGTCCAATGTGGCAACCACAACTTCCTAAGGAAAGCCATTAAAGATTAGATGAATATTCTTCAAACAGACATGCAAAGGTATTCCAAGCCCATCCAAGATACAATATAAAAATGTTTAGAAAATAGATAGGCAGTCTTTTCCAGTGTAAAGACTGAACTCACATGGGTAATCCCAGCGACCAACAGAATTACTTCTGTGAATCAAGTAAGAGGAACTGACTTAGTCCACTAAATAGGCTAAACTAGGGCTGTCCAACTTTTAAGCAACCAGGGGCCACACACAAAGCAGGCTGCACTACTGGGGTCCACCTGCTCCATGCAGTGCACTAGTGAGGGTCATAGGCCCCCAGGCTGCATGGATTTCCCCCCAGTTGCACCATGCACACATATCACCCTGCTGCAGCTCACATCTATGCTGCACTTCAATGACCCCTGGGGTAAGCACAGAACACAGAAGCCAGGCGATGGAGGGAAGCCCAAGAGTTGCAATTTACCCCATCACAAGCCACATGCAGCTCCTGGAATGCCAGCTGAACAACCCTGTGCTAACTACAAACTATCTTGCAATCTCTGGGTAGGTAAAGTTCATAGTGCTTCAAAACACTGTACTTCATACCTTTTTACATCCAACTGCTTACAATAAACACATAAGTTAACAGAGCCTCCTCCTAATAATACTGGGTGCGTCTACACGTGTTTTACTGAAGAGTAGACAAATTAGCTCCACAGTAGTGTCACAGTCTACACATGCGCAAGTATTAGGGTGCTGTAAACTAATTAACTTCACCATAAAATAGTACTGTCTGAGATAGTACTATCTTGAGGCAAAGTCATTACGAGTGATCAAACACACTGGGCATATATTGTGCCTGGTCACCCTAGCCAGCCAGGGACCAGACTGTTGCCTGACCCTCATGCCCCAGCCAGCCCCTCCAATGCATGATGCAACCACCCAGAGCCTGGGGCTGACCCCCAGAGCCTCCTGCCACCCTGGGGCTGCTGCACCCCAGCTCAAAGTGCTGCTGTCCCAGGCACACATGTAGTTGCTGCAGTTGACCCTGGCTGAAACTGCTCCAGAGTTTATTGCTTTGCCTTGATTTCACGTGTAGATGCACCCACTAATTTCTAACCAGGCAGGCCTAGTCTGCATGGAGATTCTTAAAAACTCTCCTCATGTTCTACCTCTACCAGGGTTGGCAATAGTGCCAGTGTAGACTGGGCAAGAACAATTTTACTATGGTACCATCCAGGTTTCTAAGAAGATTTGCACAACCTGGTGAAAGCATGCGTGCCTGGTGTACACTAGGGCTTCTTGCCTGTCTAGCACCAATGGAATTAAGCCTGGACTACAGTGGGAAAATTTCTGAAAAACCTCCATTCAAACAGAACCCAGCTAACTACAGCAAGATAAGAAAATAAAGGGGATGCACAGATGAGAGACCAATGAGTAAAAGGAATCTTACAGCATAATTAATTCAAAATGAATTACCACATCATCCAGAGAAAACTGGGATCCTTGAGCAACAGTATGTCCATTCACAGAAATCATGGCACAACCATCATAGTACAAACGATCACCATCACAGCCTTTTTGATTGGCTAAAATATAAATACCACCGTTCTAGGAAGAAAAATGTATTAAGTTGGTTTCCTAAATAAAACCATTTGAAAACAAACGAATCCTAAAATGGCAAAACGCTATTTTCTACCCTTTATTCCTGCAACCACTCTCTCCATCTTTGGACTTCAAGCAGTTTAAAGACAGAATAAATGGTCACTTGAAAAGCTCTCAGCTCTCAGCTCCCTATGGATACTTCAGAAACAAAAAATGGACAATAACTTCCCTAGTAGCTGTTACATATAGAAAGTAAGAGCCTTCTATTGCTACCAGCTAATGAAGAGTAGTTTTTTGGCTTCAGGTGGTAGAGATCTACACTTTGGATTTGACAAAAAAAGCAAGCAGATGCGACTAACCACAATCAAAGCATGGTAAATCATTAGGAGACAGTCACACACATACACATCACTTCTCATGGTTCAGCTTACCATACAACTGCTTGCTTTAACTTTCATTATTATGACCTAGTATCTAAATATATTGTTTCTTTTTAAACTTAGCAGAATTTTAAATGAAAAAATGCCTAATGCTTTTTTCTTTAGGAAAAATAAAATCTCCTTGCTGATCTCTACTGCCAAGTTATAAACTTCCATTGCCAAGTTATAAACCTCTGAGAAAGAAAAGGATTAAGTAATCTTTTAGGAAAAAACTGCAAGGTTTGAGTGCATATCAGGATGTAAATTCTCTTACTGATATAATTATAATTATTGTTAGAATGTTAAAATGATTATGTGAACTGAGAGACAGGCACAGAAGCCACAGAAGCTTGTCTATGTTTCTGTGGGTGTGTCTACATGTGCAATTAATGAGCATTAAAATTACTGTGCAGTAACTTAAGGCACATTAATATGTGGCTGGGAATGCTTCTACACGTGCTCCTGTCAGGAGTACATTTGCTCCCGACCAGAAGAGTTCAGTGCAGAGCTACTCCAGCTACTCCTGCTCTGCCCCACTGCAGCAGCCAGAGGGGATGCAGGCTCCCTTGGGTGCCCTGGGCTGGCAGAGAGCATGGGGGTCAGGCCTGGGCTTAGGGTGAGTGAGGGAGCTCTTCCACTTCTGGGGCAGCCCCATGCCAAGCGTGGTTCCCATCCACCCCATGCTGTCTGGCTGACTGGGAGCAATTTGCTGTCTACACATGTGCTAATGAGCATTTACTCTAGTACCTGTATTTCTTGGTATTAGGAAACCACACATTAGCCTAATTTACTAATTTAGATTAGTCTAACTGTGCAGTAAAGCCTCTCATGTAGACATACCCTGTATATGCTAGAAAACCTATACCTTCTGCTCGGTGGATTATAGCTGGGTAGTGCACTGCCACTGTATTATGGGGAGCACATTGAGAAGGACTGGTCTTATATAAGAACTTATGGGGAATTATACATAGAGCAACTACAGCTACCAGCAATCTATGCTATGTAGAGAATACATATACCATCTTCATACCTGCACTTGCTTACGGTTTATCGTTATTTCTCTCTGGGTACAACTTTTCATGATTTCAATGGATTGGTTTTGTCCATTTACCATTACAGTGTGATTTCTTTTTTAATAAAATAGTCCTAAATATAGAGGATTGAGAGGCATCAATTTTTCAGAACTCTTAACATAAACAATCATCAAATAAAATCAGGTTTTTAACTCTCCCTTATTAATAACAGGTTTAACATACAAGTGCCACCAACCCTAATTACTGATACAAGGAGACAATATGTCCCGTCGAGCAAAGAAAACTCCTCTGAAAAATGAGATGCATATAGCGAGGAAATAAAAGTTAGTCTTTTAGAAGATACCTTTGCTGTTGCAGAGTTCACCAAATCAACCCGGATGTGGGCTTTCTGCAGAACATGATGACTCCCAGACGAGTTAGTGAAGATCTCCACTCCGTCGAGTCCCATTTCAATATGGGGGCTGCCAAAATGAAAGGCAGTACAAATGAAATGTATATAATTATATTATCTCCATAAGCCACAGAAGTGCTCCCCACAGTGGGTCCTTTAATGTTTTTCATTTCGCTGCTTGTCCCATCCTCCCTCAAACCCCTGCTTAGCAGAGAAGCCTAACTATGCCAGGATTTTTGCTTCCCTAGAAATCAGCAGGGCCCTTCCACCAATCAGGAGCAATGGGGGAACCAGGGCCAAGCAGCAAAATAAAAACTATTAAAGGAGCTGCTGTGGGGCGCACTTCCAGCGTGTTTTACATAAATTCCTATTCATGTACCACTTAAAATTAGTGAACACTAGCAACATTTCCTTGCCTACAAAAAACTGCCAGTTTAAATATACATCATGGTTAGGTCAACCAATGCAAGCATTTGCTAACACATCCTCTGTATTCCTGCATAGCTTTTTTTCTGTTGTCAGGATGGATACCATTTCCTACAGGAAAGAAGAGGTTTTGCTCACCTTCTTCCCACAGGCAATGGAAAGCTATCCTCTTAAAAGGGAATCATCTGTTCATAGGTCTGAATATCTTATCATGGGCACATCTACATGTTTATTGCTCCCAGATGCACCATTTGAACATACGCCCAGGACCACAGCATGTTGAGTTGGGTCGGAGCAGCCCCAGCTGGCAGGGGGCTCAGGGGGTCCAACCTGGCTCAACATGCTACAGAGGGGCTGGCTGGGGCATGAGGGTGCTCCCGTGAGGGGCTAGCCAGCAGACAGCCCGCACACTGAATCATCCTTGTGCCTCAATCAGCCAGATCAGCATCCACATGTGCACTTCTCTGCACAAAAAACTCTGCAGAAATTAAACCGCTGCAGAGTTTAGCTTCCTGCAGCCTAACAGGGCTGCATGTGTTGACGCAAGATGTTTACTGAGGAACTAATTAGTCTACTCCGCAGTACAAGTCTCATACAGAGAGACCCATAGAGAAGCAAAAAGTAAGATGATCCTCGTTGGAGAGGGGAGGAGGGAAGCTGCCCAACACTTACCTTTATCTAAAACATATCTTTTTAAAGTAATTAAAAAACTTCAGACAAAAAACCAAGTATAATTCTAGTGTATATGACAGGCAACAAAATTTATTTTCCCCACATGATATTCAGCTTCTGATATTCATGATACTCCTTTAAAAAAGTATCAGGCTGATGGTTAAAAACAACGAGCACCTAAGGTAAAGAGTTAGTGATACACTTATAAAGAAGTCTGTGCTGTAAGTTATTCAAGGTAATGAGTCCAATTCCTGTTACATTAGACCGCTTACAAACATCAGCCAGACAGAAAGGGTGAATTAGTTTAAACTATTCCATCTGAGCTAATGTAACAATGCGTCTGAAAAGAGTGTCATTGGGAAGGTAAAATTCTGCAGCTCTCCTTTTGGCAGATTTAGGGTATACTTTATCCTACTTTCCATCTTTCCCTTTGTCTTACCTACTTGGTGCCCACAATTCTTCACAGATTTCAGTCCCTAGGCAGGTATCTTTGGTAGCCAGCACTGCATCACCAAAAGGAACAGTTTCCTGAGATAAAGAACAAGATGTGTGTGTGTGTCATGGTTTTACTTAGAGTTAGACCTAAGACACAATATCTAGTTCAGATTATGAATGACCCAGAATTTCAGCTATATTTAGATCCAAGGTTTTATTCCAGACCCACCTCTCTTGACTCAACATCCTACAAAACAAAAGTTGCTGTGGCTAATGGCCACCCTCCGACTTAATATGGAGTTATGGCAACAGTTCACAGCTCTCTATTTAGACCAAGACAGAGCATTTCAAGCTGTAACATGAAATCTCTGCATGCCCGATTTCTGCATCAATCATACAAACAGAGAAAAATCTTTATATAATGTGCAATTCAATATGATTTGTAAGCTCTTGGCAGGCAAATCTCTGTTGGGTAAATGCTGGCTCCTACCTTGCTGAATTACATTAACTTTTAAGTCAACATTTGAGGCTAAAGTATGATCTTACAACAGTAACTGGGAAATTCCACTGAAACAACTGAATATATTGTTGTGATCAACTGCAGAGTTTGGCCTCGCAACTTTCTGTTGTTTAAATTTTGAATCTAGTTGATACTAAAATGTAGTTGGAAAACATTTATTCATTCCACTCACCTGTCCTGTAACCTCCTGTATCATGAGGGGAAGAAAATATTCTTCCACATGCCTAAAACAATCACACAGATTATCAGTGTCTAGAAACAAATTTGGAGCTTTGCTTTATAGCTACTGTTCACCTGTGGTTGTTTCTAATGCATGCCAATGTAGGCTAAAGCATCTTGGTGTGCTTTTATGGATGAATTTGGCCCTAAAGGTAAAGAATTAGACCTTCACATTTGCTACAAGACTAATGATACACGTTTTCAAAACCATAAAATAAGAACAATCCCATTTTCTTCAGAATAAGTGCCTTAACCACAATGGAGAACTTCTGGCTAAACAGTTTAGAAAATGTTGGAAATGTGGGGGGTATCAGCTGAGTTCTCTCTGTTCTAAATTCAGTTTACAGTTTTGCAACTCTGCAAACACAGCCAGTTTCCCTTCCTAAGGGCTGTTTCTTTTATCCACAAATTGTTGGGTGTGGGGAAAACTGACAACTCTTGTGCCAAATCTAAGGGTCCTATATGAACTGCAACAACCAAAAACTCTCTTAAGGCAAAATGTTTTATTATATTTCTGGGGATATATGCATGAGCATTCATAGGGATGATTATACAAGTTAGCAGTGGACAAAGGGATGGTAACGTGCCTCCTTTCTAGTGGCAGAAAGGTTAATGCTTAGAAAAATTATTTCCTAACAGGCTGTGCGCCAAGTTTACAGGTCTCCTTCCTCCTGGCTGCATACATTAGCCAAAATGCTATAAACTGGGTTTTTCCCCATCTAGGAATCAAGGACTGATAGTCACCTCTCCTCACTCTTTTAGCAAAAACAAAACAATACTCAGTAAGTACTACGTTTAATGTATGTCATAGCTTAAGAACAGAATGTCAATTTGGTGTGATCAAAGTGATCTACTGGGAGATTGCGAGGAATATAAGGGAAGAAAATACAGTTAACTGAAACAACATTGCCAGAGCAGAGGCCTATCCATGTGGTGCAGGACTGAAAGGGTTCCAGCTCTTTTACAGGCCCCAAATACCACCTCTAGCTTGGTATCTTCACTTTAAGTTTATGGAAGAGCCTTCCTCAAGAATGGAAGAATGGATTTCTGGCAGACTTGTGGTTTAGCTCATCTGTAGTGGCATCAGTGACAGTACTAAGTAAAAGCTTCTGCTGTGAGTGATATAAACTAAAATAAGACAGCCTACATGGGGATTTTCCTGTGGTTCCTTTGATGTGCTTCATATTTGGAGGAAATGCTATTTGCAGCTCACAATGATATAATGGTAAACTAAAAGTCACTACAGAGAAGGGTGATTTTTCTAATTGCTCTGGTGGATGGAATGCCATGACTCCACAAGGTAGATTTTACATGTCTTGTTAAGTAGAATGACTGAGCAAAACAAATATATTTGGTGCTGAAAGCAAACACGAGATGGTACTCAATCATCCCATGAACAAGAATGACTCTGGCTGTGGCTTTCTAGTGAGATGTTTCTATAAGTGTCTGTTTGTATTAAGCTTCTTAACCCAGATGACTTCAAAACAGCCACCCAGAATTTCATAGATCACACACTGCATTTTCCCATTCATACAAACAAAACCACCACCAAGAGAATTTTTTTTTTTAATTCAGAGTCTGAATTGCCTGGTGAAGACTTCCTAGGTGCTGCTTATTGCTGACTAGCTTGCAGTTCTCATTTCTACTCTGTGGGAACTGAGGAGGGAGAAGGAAGGAGGAGGACAGAACCTCAATGTCATCAGCATCTTTCCTCTAAGGATTCACTTCATGATCAAATATACATGGTACAATGCCCAGCCTAGCTGAAGAGCTTCCTAACTGAACTTCATTTAAGGTGGCTTAAATAAACTTCTTGTGCTATTGAACTGACATCAAAACTAACTGGTAAAGAAATGTCCATGGCTGTAATGGCAAATCAACCCTCTTAGGCAAATCTCATCACTAGCTTATCCACAGCTTACCGGGCTCTGCTCCATGGGGTAAACCACCGAAGTTCCCTGTAGTTTCCTGCATTAGCCAAGATCATCTTTGGTCTGATCAAAAGAATCTTCCTTAAAAGAACCAAAGCAAACAGAGCATGGGGCAATAATCTTACACTGCTGCAGAAATAAAGAGCAGCATTGACAAATGCCAAGTTTCCATTTTGTGCATGTGTGCAAGTATTACACTGTGTATTTAATAGCAATTTGTATATCAGTTTTCCTTTGCATAGTCCAACTGTTTGAGTTTTTCTGTTTGCTTTTACCAATCTTGCACACACCAGTGGTAATTTATTTTTTAATGCCATTGTAAAAATCATAATACATTGCCACTAACTTAACTTGCTATTTGAACTAACCATATTTAAACAAAACATGTTGTAGAATCATTCATTTTTTCTACTGAAAATTATACATCAAGAAATCATCTTCTCTGTGAGTAAAATGGTATTATGTTGCTAAGAAATACATACTTGTTTAAGAATATCACTCTACAGCTGTAGCGAATATTTCTGTGCATAACTGGCCTGTAAAAATAAAAAACAGAGTTATCAACAGCTAAATTCAGAAAAGAAAACAAACAAGCTAATTAATGAAATATGCTCATCAAAAGTCTACCATGTTACATTGGACTGGCATTAGATCTCAGCCATTTGGCTAAGATCAACTCTCATACTTTTGTGCAAATTTCCTAGACAGATTACCTAAAACAAATTAACGGGCTTTAGGGTCAAGATTCTCTCCCACAGTTATAATAAAAAAAAAAAAAAAAGTAGTTTACAAAAAAAAAATAAAAAAAAAATCAGTGACTGAATCAGTTTTGTCTGCATTTACTACTGAATCATTTTAGCTTTATAAAACGTAAATAGGTATATGCTGTTTTATAGCCTCTTCAGTCAAACTTGATTGTGCCTGACACCATCAGCTAAATCAGCAATGTAGGCAGACAAGTTGTACATATTTCTTTTCACTGAAGTGATTTAGACCCCCTTATTCTACTACAGTAAATCTGAATAGCAGTATATAGATAATTTGCAGCATATTCACCATTATCAAACTAAGGCTGCTTGCTCAGCAATAGCTAGTAGGATTATTTAACTCAATATCTTTTAGAAATTGATCTAGAATATATTCCTGAAGGATGTTTTAAGCTCTTTCAAACAGCTGGGTAAACTGAAATAAAGAAGCATGCATAAGATCAAGTAGTATACCCATGGGTTCCCAGTACAGGCAGTCCTCGGACTTACAACACAATTGGTTCCTGAAAACCACATCTTAAGTCAAAACTTTGCAACTCAGAACCAATTTTCTCATAAGAAACAATGTTATAAATGGGGGATTGTCCTGAACCAAGGCCCAATATCCTATTTTCACCAAAAATAACCCAGAATTTTGTACTCGATCAATTATAGACAAGTAATATAGCTACATTAATGTATTTATATTGTAAATAGCTATCATATTGATTTGGAAGGACTTCTTTGAGGTGACTCTGCCGGACTTTTTGAAGGGCTCTTGGCTGGAGTATTCTCAGGAGTCTGAGCTGCAGGTTCTTCTGGAGTTTTATCTGCTTTCTTAAAGAAAGTGTCCAAGGAAGTTTGGACAGATGTTCTCCAGGGAGACGAGCAATGCAGCGAGCTTGTTCGCTGGTGTGGCATCACATCAGATCAAGCATTGTAAAGTCAAAACTGATGTCAAAGTTGAAACGGTGTCAATTTATAAATGTTGTAAGTGGGAAATGTTGTAACTCGAGGACTGCCTGTACTACATTCTGGTTACAATGCAATCCTCTCACACTGTTCTCTTAAAAAAAAAAAAAATCACCCATTAAAAATATGCCTCCTTTTTATTTTGGGTATAAACCAGATAATTTCAGTATTTTACATTAGAATTCCCAGGTCTTCCAATTTTACTTTCCCTCTGCAGCTCACCTTATGAAAAACAGTGTTTTAACTGCACAAGGTAATATTCTTTTGACAATGAGACTTAGGCTCCCAAATCATTAAAACATGTAAATGTTTTATGTAGAGTCTTCTCTAACCAAAGCCCATTCAGGCATGACAGTACCATCACGTTTTTCCTAAACAGCTACCCCTTCATCATAATTATATAGCACTTACATTCCCACATCACAGATAATATCTTGAACAGCAGGAGATTCCAAAAGCTTTGCCAGAACTTGAAATGAATGCAAGAGTGTGTCAGACTCATAATAGTGATCTGAACAGCCATAACCACTGCACACAAAAAGATACAAAGCAAGAATTCAGATGAGAGCAGTATTAGACACAAACCAAAGCTGCTTAAGCAAAGAACCACCTTTCCCATATCTGAAATTACCCATATCACAAACTGTAAAGTCATAAACTGAAATGATATAACAGCAATGTTGGGAATGTTCTCTCCCAAAAAATAAGTGGAGGGAAAGAACAAACAATCTGGAATTTTTGCTGAAATAACTTACTGAATAATTGGTGCCAGTCACATTTGCAAGCCAAAAATCCAATCATTCAACCCACCCCAATCTATCAATATCATATTTTTGCTCCCATACACAAGCTTATGTAATTTACACAGTATTATACAGAGTAATATGCATTTGGATTTCATAGTTTCATAGTTTCGTAGTTTCTAGGGTCAGAAGGGACCTGAGAAGATCATCTAGTCCGACCCCCCGCAATGGCAGGAAAGAGTACTGGGGTCAAACGACCCCAGCAAGGTGTTCATCTAACCTCTTCTTAAAAACCCCCAGGGTAGGAGCCTGCACCACCTCCCTTGGAAGTGGTTCCA